TAGGGAAACAGGTTTGTCTCCCAGGGGATCAGGAGGAAGCACATGGTGATGCAGGAGGTGGAAGAAAACAGCAGCTTGTGGATCAAATGCACTTTTCTCACCTCTATTTCTCCTTCTGGATAAGGGGAGGTGGGATTTTTGAGGCAGTTTCTGAGTATTTGCAGTTTTTCCAAGCAGAGATGTTGTGCAACTGGAGGGAAAACACCAAATTAACTGGTTTCATAAAGAAAAAAAAGGTAAAGGGAGCAGCTCAGCATCTCATATTGCTGGTGAAATTCAGCCCTCTGGGTTTGGGGACAGCAGGAGGACACATCAAGCCAGATCCAGACCTGAGTCTCTGAAGCTTTGTAGCAAAACCTCAGAAAAATAAAGAGAGAAAAGGGGAAAATCCTGCTTAGAACCTTTCCAGCTCCAGGCCTGGCACTGCTGGGGCTGCTGTGGATGCTGGAAATGCAAATGTCAGCGTAAGGGGATCTCCACCCATATTAAATTTTCAGTGAGTTTACAGCACTTCTCCCCTTATCTGATCTCCCCTCCTTCCCCATTGCTTTTCCTGGACAACCCACATCAAATCCACCCATGGCCACATCCACTGGAGTCTTTTCCCAAAAGCTCTTCCAGAATCCAAGCAAGTTGTGGGGTTGTTTGGTTTTTTTCCCCTCCCCATTATCCAAGGGTGCAACCTCAGGGATGTGATATTGGGGGCGGTTCACGCTGATGTTTTTTCTCTCCTCCCTCTTTCCAGTTCAGCTCCCATGAAAGAAGAGCAGGAGGATGGATTACGGTGGCTGCCAGTACCTGGTTCCCTGTGGAAAAGACAAATTCATCTCCAAGTAAGGTCCTGGGTTAGGATATGATGCAGAAACCCCTTTGTGCTGGGAGCTGGGGAGTTACTTCCAATATTCCCCAGGGGTTTCACCTTCCAGCTGGGAAGTGACCCTGGGTTTTTCACTACATGCAGTTGGATTTGGGAAGAAAAAGTCATCTTGGGGTGAGGAGCTGCAACTTCCACTGAAAACAACAACAACAAAAAAAGGGTTGTTGATGGAATTTATTTTTTTTTTCTTCCTTAGGAATGTGGCCAAGTGCTCTATAAAATTTCTTGAAATGGGAGTTTTGCTGGAAAAGATCCTGAGACATAATTGCTCTTTTATGCTTCAGCAAAGAAGTAAAACTATTCTGAAGTTTTGAGGCAGATGTTGGAGGAGATAAAAGATATATGTGATACTTTTAACCCCACTTTTTCCCTCTATCAGAGCACCAAATCCCCCTGATTTGGGCTTCTTTAAACTGCTCTGGTGGTGCCAAGGAGCCTTAAACTCCATCTACCAGCCCAGCTGAATTCATGCCAACATTGGGAATTAATGCCAGAGGTGTCGGTGGCCCCGTGATTCATTGCTGGGCTTAGCCTAGTTTTATTTTTATTATATTTTTTTTATTATTGTTTTTACTTTTTGTATTAATTTTATTACTCTTTTTTATTATTAATTTGCAACTGGAGCAGGGCTCAGACTTTTAATTGGAGCTCAAGGTCAAGGTCCGGAGCGACAAGCCGACGGGATAAACCCGCCTGTGATAACTTGTGACTCCAGCATGACCCCAGGGCTTGGATGTTCCAAAAAAAAAAAGCCTTGTTTTTTTCAGTCTTGTGACCAACTCCACCAAGGCCTTGGTGGGTTTTCTGACATCTTCTTTGCATGGCTTATTGAGGGCACGGTTGCAGGGAGCTTGACCCCCCTAATCGTGGTTGTGAGGAGCTGGTTGAACCCCCAGCAGGTGCCCTCAATGAGGGAGAGCCAGAGGCAGCAAAAGACCCACATTTTCCCCAAATTAAGCTGGTTTAACCAGCCACCAGCTTTAACCAGTGGCATCTGCCAACTCACCTGGAGTTGTCCCATGGAGAGCTGTCCCATGGAGCGCTGTCCCATTCCTGTGCCCCAATGTCCCCCTTTGCTCCTCCCCATCTCTCTCAGCACCATTCCCACATATTTTTTTTGGAGAGTTGTCCCATTCTGGTGCCTGCCATGTCCCCCCCATCTCTTCTCAGCACTTTCCCCATTTTCACCCCCAGAAATGAGCTGCTCTTACACTTGAAGACCTACAACATCTACTACGAGGGGCAGAACTTACAGCTGCGGCACCGGGAGGTAAGAAACAAACCCACCAGCTTCTGAAAAAAAAACCTAGAAGTGAGGAAATTGGGATTGATTCCCCTTGGGGGGGGATGTTCTCTCGTGCAGGAGGAAGGAGAGCTGGTCGTGGAGGGGCTGCTGAACATCTCGTGGGGCTTGAGGAGACCCATCCGCCTGCAGATGCAGGACGACAACCAGCGCATCCGCCCGCCCCCCTCCTCCTCCTCCTGGCACTCGGGCTGCAACCTGGGGGCCCACGGGTGAGCCCAGGGCAAAGAAGGGTCTGTGTGTGTGTGTGTGTCCCCTTTCCCTCCTCCCCTTTCCCCACCACCCCTTTTTGCCCCCCATTATCCCTGCCCGCACCTCCCGGCTGCTTCGTTTGGGTGGTTTTCCCAGTGAGGTGCAGGAGCCTGGAGGAGCCAAGTCTGGAATGAAGCAGCCTGGGTTCCTGCAAACCCCACCCCCACCTTTAAGAAGACCCAATTTAAGAGTCCATTAGGTGGGCAAAATACGGTGTGTGGCATAACATAATGCAACACACTTGCATATTTGTACTCTCTTTATGCACACTAGATATCGAGCACTAGCCATCTATTTCAGACTGAATATATGTCAGAGTACCTTTGTCATCTGGAGCACATGCAAAATTACCCAAGATAGCTATCAGCAATAGCAAAAAAGCCTTTAAGATGCAGTAAATGAGTTGCATTGCTCCATACAGGTATGGATATGATGAAATTGCCAGTTTTGAACGTTAGATCTCGTAAGGTATTTAGAGGCATTCAAAGGATATTTTTCTCCCTCACACCTATCCACAGTTCTCAGATACCCTCCTTCTCTTGCTTCACATTCATATTGTAGTCCTATCTGTGTATCTCCACACCGTGTGAAGGTTATTAAATGTCTGTATTTACACTCAGAGGCAAACCTGTGTTTAAGGGATACAGGGCCACCCACTTGTGACCCCCTTTGCAAAGACACTCCCCCCCTTTCTGCACCCTCTCCTTTTGCAACCTGCCCCCCCCTCTTTTTCCAAGGACTCCTCCTTTTGCAAAGACACCCCCCCCCCCTTTCACAAAGACTCTCCTTTTCTAGAGACCCCTTTGCCTGCAAGAAGCTCCTTCCAAAACCAACAAGGGAGGGGAGGGATTTTAACACAATTTAATGCTGGATCCTGGTCCTTGCCAGCCTGTTCCCAGCCACTTCCCAAGCCCATTCCTAGCCAATTCCCAGTCTGTTCCCAGCTTGACCCTTGGAGCAGCCAGCCCCTGGCCTGGCCTGGCCATGGTGGAGGTTTCTGCCTGATTTTTGCCTTTTTTTGGATGTCTGTAAATAGGAAAAAAAGGCCCAGGAGCAATTTTGCTTGGGCAAGTTGTGTGTTGGAGCTCCCAAAAAGCTTCAGCATCCCTTCCTGGAAGGGGCAGCTGGGATAACACCTTCCCAAGAGTTGTATTTTTTGGGGATAGGATGGGATTTAGGAATGATAATGCAAATGTGCTTCAACCCTGAGGGGATGGTTGGAAGGAACCCTGGAAATCCAGGTTGGAAGTGACCACAAGGATCTGCCCAATCCACAGGGAGAAGGGGCTGCTTTCATTTGAGGGGGGAGGGAAATTATCCTGGTTGTGGTTCCCCTGGCAGTGCAGCTGCCAGGGGAACCACAACCAGGATAACTTCCCCACAATTGGGGTGTTTTTTGGAATGCCAGCTCCGTGGTGAAGCCCAGCACCTTGCCAGACATCCAGGTTACGGATGCGGATGCGGCGCCGAACGCGGAGTCTCCCGGGAATACAGGTGAGTCAGGCCCTGATCCAGGCTCTGATCCCATTGGATTTGGCCAGGTAGCTGGGAGCAGCTGCCTTATGCTCCAGTTTGTTTGGAATAAAAGATAAACCAAGTGTGGGGGGGTTATTTTTCTAAAAAAATCAGTGTTTCCTTCTTGCTCCGTGGAGCTTGAAGCCCTTTCGATGGCACCTAAAATTTAACTGGTTTAATGTGTTTCATTTATTGTATTTAATGTAATAATTGCAGCAAGAAAATCGTGGCCCCAAAGCCCTTTCCTAAGAGGTTCTGCTCCTGGGAAAGGGATCCTGTGGTGGGATGCGAGGAAAAGAAGCTCGGAAAGAAATAGAGGGGTGGAGAAAAGAGGCTGGTGGGATGGGCGGGAGGAGGATGTTGGAGCTTCTCCTTCCCGGGGACTCTGCTTTTAGGGAAGAAGAAGAAGAAAGGGGCATTGGGGGG